ACAGGTGTGTGAACAGCTCAAACACACACAGGTGTGTGAACAGCTCAAACACACACGTGTGTGAACAGCTCAAACACACACAGGTGCGTGAACAGCTGCTACAGTACGGCGTGGACTCAAACAGGTCACTTGGCTTCACAGAGTGAATCATTTAATTCTTTGTTGAGCCATTTCACTTAGATTTCTGTCCTTTAACACTAACTTACCATCACACTGATTTTTTTAATGAAACACTTCAAACATCAACATATTTCACATTAAAAGGAGTCGACTCTGCCACACTCATCCACTCAGTAAGGCGTTCCTGTCTTCTTTAAACCAAACGTCTTGAGTTGCTGCGTGCAGGATGTGTGTGATATCTTGTGTAGGAGGTTTTGGTTCTGGTGAGTCTTGACGGGACTTTTGAACTTCTATGTGCAGCTCTGTGTCAGCAGCAGGACAGGACGGAGGCGACTGCTGCACAGTGGTCTAAAAATATGATTTTTCCATCTTCTACATCTGTCCCATCTCTGTAGGACGTCCCTCCTTCTGCCTCTTTGTGTTCATACGTTCCTCTCTTGACTCTTCAACATTCACCCTCTTCATCAAACACTTCTTCTTCTAACCCGTCCACTGTGGTCAGAACAATCTGCATAGAAGTCCGATGTGACTTTTCTCACTCTGCCTTTAGGAACCAGCCGGATTAGTTTCAGTTTTTACTGCAGGAGGAACGATGGCGACTCTTGTAATGATGTTTGTGCTCACCTGAGTCCAGCTGAAACGCTGAACACTTGGAGCCACAAGGCAGAGGTTTTAGTTACGTGACTGAGGTTGAGAAGGATTTACTGCCACTAAATGAGTTCCTACTGTCCACCTTTGGAGCATCAGGTACAGTTTGTTTCCAGATGTGCTGCAGCCGCTGCAGTGACCCGGCTGGTTTCAGGGCTGGTGGCAGGTAGAGCTCTGGGAGACCAAAGACTCTTCTGGGTGTGGGGGTGGAGGAACAGGACATCAGATGCGGATCTGGTAACCGTCACTGAGAGTGCTGAGCTCTGGAGGTTTCCTCTCCACTGAGGCGGGCCTGAAACAAAAGCAGATGAACATGCTGAACTGCATGCTGGGAACACTGATGAACAGTAGAAGCAGAACGGAGACAACTGTTCCCAAACTGAACTCTTCAAGATGAACTTCTGAATGTTCATACCTTAAGAAAACCTGGACTATTTTATTTCTTAGAAAATATATACTTATTAGACTTGAATGTGACACTTTCTCTTTTTGATGTGATTCATATCTAAAGTAAATACTGTAATCCAACAACGTTGTGGAAGCTAGAGGTGACAGTCTGTGAACAGCAGTATGGTTTCATGCTGAGACACTGATGGAGAAGAACAGAAGAAGGTCAGAAAGAACTCCATTGTGTCTTTGTGGATTTAGAAAAAGGCATCTGACAGGGTGCCGAGGGAGGAGGTGTGGTGTTACATGAGGAAATCTGAAGTGGCAGAGAAGTATGTTGGACTGGTACAGGACATGTATGAGGACAGCAGGACAATGGTGAGATGTGCTGTAGGAGTGACAGATGGAGGTGGGAGTGCATCAAGGATCGGCTCTGAGCCCCTTCTTGTTTGCTCTGGTGATGGACCGACTAACAGATGAGGTCAGGCAGGAATCCCCGTGGACGATGATGTTTGCAGATGACATTGTGATCTGTGGTGAGAACAGGGAACAGTTGGAAGAGAACTTGGAGAGGTGGAGGTATGCACTTTAAAGAAGAGGAATGGAAGTCAGTCGTAGTAAGACAGAGTCCATGTGTGTGACTGAGAGGGAGGAGGTTAAACAGTGAGGCTACAAGGAGCAGAGGTCACAAAGGTGCAGGACTTCAAGGACTTGGGGTCCACTGTCCAGGAACATGGAGAGTGTGGTAAAGAGGTGAAGAAGAGAGTCCAGGCAGGATGGAGTGGATAGAGAAAAATTTCAGGAGTGATTTGTGACAAAAGGGTGTCAGCAAAGGTCAAAGGAAAAGTTTACAAGACAGTGGTGAGACCAGCTATGTTGTATGGTCTGGAGACAGAGACATGGACAAAAAGACAAGAGACAGAACTGGAAGTGTCAGAAATGAAGATGTTGAGGTTCTCCTTAGGAGAGACAAGGATGGATAAGATTAGGAATGAGATCATCAGAGGTACAGCACAGGTTGAACAATTGGAAGATAAAGTTAGAGAGGACACACTGGCCCTGAAAAGGGAACAGCTGAATAAAATTAGAAGCTGAAGAAGAATATAAATCTTGACTCAGACTCTGTAAAACTGGTCTAGTTTACATCCTGCTCAGAGTCAGCTGGTTTGGCTGCTACGTCTGTATCTGAACAACAAGAGGCGTGTCCTCACAGCAGGTGATGTTTAACTGACAGGTTGTCTACCTGTTCTCCAGGTGAGGCCTTATAGCTCAGTGGTTAGAGCACTGGTCTTGTAAACCAGGGGTCGTGAGTTCAAACCTCACTGAGGCCTAATTTATTTTCCTTTGCATAAATATTACAGTAAAATTATCTTGAAATAAAATTACCAGGTTCATACATACACATGAAGACGTTCATGTTAAACTTTATTTTATTTTATTAACTGAATGTATAAATCTATCTGTTGCAACTGTACAAAACTTAAGTGTAGTAACACAAAGTGATTCAAGGTGTTCCCTAAGTTTCTGGAAACACTGGAACAGTTGACTGAACATATGAGAACATCTGCACTGTCCACAGGAGGGACAGTGGTTTGGACATGTCCAGAGGAGGGACAGTGGTTTGGACATGTTCAGACAGAGGAGGGACAGTGGTTTGGACATGTCCACAGGAGGGACAGCGGTTTGGACATGTCCACAGGAGGGACAGTGGTTTGGACATGTCCACAGGAGGGACGGTGTGTATATTGGTAGAAAGATGTTAACATGCAGCTGCCAGGAAAAGGACAAAGAGGAGACATATAGATGCAGTTAGAGAGGACATGGAGGTAGTTGGAGTGAGGACAGAGTGAGATGGAGGAGAATGATCCCTGAAGAGGGAAAAGCTGAAAGAAGAAGAAGACCCCTCCAAGAGTTGCTGTTAATAAATCTCTGTTAATTTTCTTCTTAATAATAAAAACTGAAGTTCTGTCCTCGATAAAAGAGTTAATGTTCCCAAATCAGCGTCATAACGTGAAAATACCACAAAGTTTTAACATTTAAATGTTCACAAACTGAATAAAGATAATAAATATGACTTCTGAACATCAAAAGATTGATATACACGGATCGTATTAACAGATAAACTGTTTCCTGAAGCAACTGTGAAAGAAATAATAAAAACAAATGTTCAGTGGGATTCATCAAGAAGTCGTCAGATCCTCCATCTTGTTCTCTCATGACTTTGGTTCTTCCGAGCTGACAGATTTATTTTCTTCTTCTCTGCTCATTTTCTTCCGTTTGTCAAGTCGTTCGTTTCTCTTCTTTCTTCTTCATCTGTTTCCTTCCAGTATTTAGTTTCCGCTCCTCTTTTCTCCAGTTTTCTGTTGCTCTTTCCTCCTCGTCTGATTCGTTTCCCTCCGTCTTACGTTCTCTGCAGGAGTCTCCGTTCAAAGTGGAATTTGTACAAATAAAAAATGTTTTTTTTAAATATTCAGGTTTTGTCTTCCAGACACATCAACTGTCAGCCTTAAAGTGTTTGTGTTTGACATGAGCTGCTGAGCCTGCAGCAGATTATTAGTCTCTGCTGCAGTGGCAACATATTGTTGAGTGGATAAGTACTCTGTTGATAACAGTAATGGTTTCTAAAGTCTCGCGCTCAAGTGCTTTAAAGCGCTAATGTACCGTTGTGCACGCTGGAGAAAGAAGAACATCTAATCTAATTCCTAAGAACTTCTGTTCTTCAACTTTTATCTGCAGCTCATCTAATGGTATAAAAGTGTCTGTTCACTGAGGTGAAGTAAAAATCTGGACAATTTATCAAACCTTTTCAGTTCTGTCCTGATCTCGAGCTAGCATCAAAATGTTTCAGAATCACACTGTTGCAAGCAGCTGACAACTGTTCTCTTCCTGCTTCAGGGAGCGCCACAGCAAGCAAACTTTTTGACATTTTATTTTACGCCAGTAAACCGGCAACCTAAGGATGACAAGACCGCAGCACTGACCACCGAGCCACCGCAGTCCCCAAGCAACTGATAACTAAACAATAATAAAATTAATAATTTGGGTCTCTGCTAAAGAAACAACAGCTCAGAGGTTTAACGTTGTGTGAAATGGTCTAAATGTAAACCAGGAACTCTTTAGGTGAAGAGGATTTATTTACAACCCTGGATGAAGACTCTGTTACTTTAGAAAACCTTTAAAGCCCTTCCTTATCTGCAAACTGAACTGTTGACATGTTGTGAGATATTAATAATAGCATTTTAGGTTCCCAATCTACACTGAATAATTTGGAGAAGTTTCTTTAAAAAAATGTAAAGAAATTGTGTTTCTAGTCCAAAAAGGTGAAGGGATCCTAACAGTCTTGCTGAATGAGAGGTTGTTGGGGGGTGGAGGCTGTCAATATTTCAGAGCGTTTAAAATGGTCTTATGCAGTGCTTAATTTGTAAGCCAGAACACAAATTGCGGGGTGGTCCTCTCCCAGAAACATCTGAATAAAGTAGATGCCATTTCCTGCATTCTGCCGTATTTAAACGTGTTGTTAAACATCTGTGTTCATCTACATAAGTAAACACTCGATCCAATAACCATTTTAGAGAGTAACAGGAAGTAGCCTGACCAACAGCTCTCCTTGTGTGAATAGAGCAAGGCCTGCTTCTCTCAAGCATTCTAACCCCGTCCCCCCCAGGGGTGGAGATTTTTTCAAGGGTAGAAGAAGAAATGCTTACTTGAAGGAGCAGCTCAGATGTGATATGGCTGTTATGTTTAAAATTAGTCTTGTTGTAATTGTTTTCAGATTACCGGTACATATCCAACATGTTTTATTAGTTCAAGGCAGTCATATTTTTTCCTAACTTTATTATTAGTAAGCCTGAGAGTTACCGGATCCAAGCAATCAGTTACGGGAACACACCCTGTCAAAATAAGAGTTCCCAGATCTTGTTCCGCCTCAAATTAAGCCCTGGGCGTATGAAGATAATTTATTTTTGAACACAAACAAGATTTAAGTCACTGCCTGAGAACTTTGTCATGGTGACCACTTTTGGCCTAAATTAAACAGATTTTCAGAGACTACTGTTAAAAACTAAATGATCTGAAGAACCACTGCACAGGATGACCTCTGACCTGTAACTGATCCTGATGCTGTCAGGCTGCGAGGCGACCGCTGAGCCATCGGGCTGCAACTGTCGTCTCGGTCAGATTGGGTTACATCCCGACACACAGCTGACAGCTCACACAGACACAGTCAGCATCAAAGTGTCCTCGCCCGAAGCCTCCTTTAAAAAAAGCAGCTAAATGTGAACTCTCCTTCAGCGTGTTCAGCTGCAACAACTCAGGGCGGTTTGAATCTTGTCTTTTCTTCTCCTCCCACAGATGAAGAGTTTCCTCCCTGTCAGAGAGCTGACTGTATAATCTGAGCTCAGACAGTAAGTGCTGCACTCTGCACATCTGAGCGTGTCTCGTGCACTCGCACAACAACAATGTCAGCTTGGTGAGAACGCCGAGCGGTGACGGAAGGTGTCGCCTCATTTCAGATCAGAGCTGAACCTCCGTGCTGCTTCGGCTTTCCTCTGAGCGCTGAACTCAGATCAGTTTATTCATCAAACACCAAATGACGCCTGAACTGTCCTTGACCCGAGCCAGGAGGGAGGAAGAATCATAAGCAACCAGCAGCCGGTTGTCCTGGTGAAACTGAAGCTGCTCTGTCTCAATATCTGACAGATCTGACAACAATCTGGAACAGACGGCGTTTGTTCTTCGGGTTTCTCACCCGAGGCGGAAGCACTTACGATTTGTCTCGGCGGTTTGTGACCCGTCGCTGTGGACTAATCCGCCGTCGCCGTGGTGATAAGGACTTTCCTCTGCTGCGCTCCTTGATTGGTGACTGAGCACTGGATGATTTCAGGATCTATTAAAAATAAGACAAATTAAAACCCATGAAGAGTCAATGTAACAAAAATATTCCTAATTTAATCTGATTAACATCGGGAGCCAACCCCATTTAAAATGGCTGCCACAGCTGACCTCTGACATCGAAAAGCAGCAACCACGAGGTTGTTTTAAACGTTGGTGTGGTAGTAGCTGAGAGTCATTCACAACAATCTCCAAGTCCTGCTCGTCCGGAAAGATCATTGCTTAAAACGTTCAGCGTTCACCGTTGGAGTTGACCGTTTGTTTGCTAAATGTTTTATGAAGAACCGGATGAATTTTAACGAAACTCTGAAACAACTAGAGAAACTGCAGTTCCTGTGAAAATGCAGAGTCAATGCTTATTGCTGAAAAACAGCTGAAATCAGCTAAAAACAATGACATGTAGATAAAATGGAAGAAAAGCTTAAGTTAGTAGAAGAAAGCAGAAAGAACACAAATTTGCTGAATTAGGTTTAAATAAGCAAAAATCAGCAAAAAAAGAAGGAAAAAATTAACTCAAAAGCTGAAATTAGCAAAGAAATAGCTGAAACGGCAGAAAGAAGCTTAAACTACCAGAAGGATGTGAAATGAGCTCCAAACATGTAGAATAAGCTGAAAAACCTAAATTTAGCACAAAACAGCTAAAACTAGTTAAAATAGCAGAAAAAGCTGAAAGGAACATAAGTTGAAATGAGCAGAAAGAAATTAATTAGACTGAAAGAAGCAAAAATTACCACGAACAATTTGAATTTCTCTGAAATCAGCTAAAATTTGCTGAAAATGTAACTGAAAAGGTAGAACAAGCTTAAATTATCAGAAGAAAGCAGAAAGAACGTGTTTGCCCAATTAGGCTGAAAAAAATCAGAAATGAGCACAAAACAAGGAAATTATCTGAAAAAAGCTGAAATAAGAAAAAAAAACTGCTGAAAAGTGGCTAAAACAGCAGAAAGAATCTTAAATTACCAGAAGGACGTGGAGAGAGCACAATTTTACTGAATTTGGCTGAAAAAAGTTGAAATGAGTGCAAAAAATGTGTAAATGTGTGTTGGCTTAAAAAGCTTAAATTAGCATAAAGACAGCTAAATAGTAGCTGAAATAGTAGAAGAAGAATAAACTTGCAGAAATATCATAATGTAAAAGAAGAATAAGCTGAAATTAGCAGAAAGAAGTTAGAAGAAGCACAAAAATGTTGTAATTAGCAGAAGTTATCTGAAAGGAGCACAAAACAGCTGAAAGTAGCTGAAAGAATCTGGAAAAAAAGTATAAATTTGCTGAAAGAAGCTGAAGCAGAACAAAATGTGAAAGGAGCAGTAAAAGGTTGTAAACAGATCTAAAGATCTGAAGGATGGGAAACGAGCTCAATTTATTTTCTATGAGGAAAAAAGTGGCAGAAAAGGCTAAATATTTCAAAAAGCTAAAGTTGCACTGATACCTAAAGTCACAGCAGGATTGTCCTGAAAGAGCAGAACGTTTTGATTTATGATTTGTTGAAACAGATGAAAACTGCGGGACGAGAATTGTGCTGAAAAAAGTACGGAAGAAAAATGGATCAGAGCAGAGTGAATACTTCATAAACATTCACAGAATTATTTGATGGACAGCTACAACTACTTTCATAAATACTGCGAGTACAACAGAGTTCTCTGCATTTCTGGCAGGTGAAACTAAACCCTGGTCCTCTACAGTCCAAGAGAACTAAAGACAAAATGTCCTCCTTGCACAAACTCAAAGACATCCAGAGGTCTAACAAACAGAAGCACACCAACACTGAAGTCTGCTTTGATACCTTCATGTTCTCTGAAGAGCAACAGAGCCGGATACATGGGAGTGTGTGTGTGTGTGTGTGTCTCCATGTGAAAACATTTGTGTGTATGACAGCTGCAAACCCCCTGACCCACACTCCCTGCAGCCGTGCAGCACCGTCCTTCTCACTGTAGACCTGCATCACACACACTCACACATCGTCTGCGTACCTGAAACAAACCCAAATAAAAGCAGCACACGAAGAGAGAGATTTACTAGAAATAAAACCTACAAGTCCATGAAACGTTCAACTCCACACGACCCAGTTCTCCGTCTCTTCCGTCCTCATCGTGCCCTCAATAATTCTTGACAGTTTATGTTTCCACGTTCAGCCCAAAGGAAACATCCGACTCTGATCTCATGGAAACACGTTATACAAAACGTGTTTCTCTGTTCAGTCTCTAAATAATACAAAACAATAAATGAATGAATAAATAAAAGATGATTTTATAAATTAAAAAGTTGTAGAATCACACAGAGAAGTGCTTGTAGTGTGTTGACATGAAATACTGATGATAAGCAACATGTAGTCAAATAAAAAGAAGAAAATAGTGAAACAAACACACGACCTTTACATTTTATTTATTTATCAAAGCCCAATTGAAAAAGGTCATATTTGTCACATGACTTGATGCAAACTGACAGAGTGGCCGTGACACTGTCGGGATGAGTTTGTGCTCCAGATTTGGTTTTTCCCTGAATTTCATCGCAGCTTTTGGTGGAACGTTCTGATGCCGTTTCTTTTGGATTCTGTTTGTTTTAAAATGCACCGAATCGTTTTCAGATCACGCTGTTAGGTGAAAATATGCACAGAAACATTTTTTAAAAATTGTTGACTCGCTCGCTGCCCTTCGTTTAAAATGTTTCAAACAAAGATTATCTTACAACGTGAAATGAAGCAGGCACAGCCGTTTTAGTTTAACCTCCAAAACACAATTACCGTAATTCCTGGACGATAAGCTGCTACTTTTTTCACACGCTTTGAACAAATATACAATGATGCAGCTAATTTATGGATTAATTTTTTTTTTTGACGAGCTAACAAGACAAAACATTTAGCCTCGCCACACCCGGGTGCTCACATAGCTGCACAATGCACGTCTCTCTTGGGGGGTGGGTCCTCGTGACTCGAAGAGGCTACCTGTAAAAACAACTGACCAATGAAATTAAGCCCCTTATCCACAGGGCCGGTTCTTGTTGGACCTTGTTGTGTCCGGTTCTGGTGGGACCTCTTTTTTTCTGTATCCACAGTGCCCATAGTTCCCGTTTAGTGGGCGGATTATTAATATCAACGCACCTTACCAGCTGGTGGCGCTAGTGCTACATTAAGCTCTTTTCTAAGCACCACTAACATGTATTAGAAGAAGAAGAGCCGGAAAACAACACACAACCAAAATGGATGACCTTCTTGATCTCCGCCCTCCACCAATGAATACGCCCCCTGACCAATCAGTGACCAACAGCGCGCTGATGTCACATCTAGACCCAACAAGAACCAGACCTGGGACCTCAGAGAAGTAGGTCCCAAAAATGGGGTGGGTTCCACCGCTGAAGGCATTGTGGATAAACCACGCAATCGGCCCAAACTAGTTACATAGGAGCCCCAAAAGGCCCTATGGATAAGGGGCTTTACTGAACCGGTCACAGTGGACCAAAGAAACCAAGTTTCTTTGGTCCACTGTGGAGGGGGGACACTTGGTCCCCCCTCCATTCTCTCCTCCCTTCCCCCTCTCCACAGGAGGTTCCCCCCTCGTTGTACACAACAAAGTATTTGCAGCCACTGTGACGTTGAGAGCGACACCGAAAGAGACTGAGGACGTGAGTGACGACTGTTCAAACACGAGGAAGACGACTGCAGTGCTTTTCATGCACGTGAGGAATGAAGCTAGCGATCAATGACTTCCTGGTAGGTTGCTGTATTTATTTTATTTTTTAACAAGCCACGTCACAGGCATTGTTCAGAAAAAAACCATTTACTGCATGTATTTATGCATGTTACTGGTACGTATTTAATTAGAAGTTTTAAAAATCTTTGTGTGAATATCTCGTGTTACAACGTGGACACCTGCGGTTTATACGCATGTGAGGCCTATTCTGTATATGCACAAAAAAACACTGTTTCCCTTTTTAAATTTAGCAGAGGCAGCTTAATATTCAGGTGCGCTCAATAGTCTGGAAATTACGGTTTATGCAATCTCATGTGATATTTCACTATCTCAGTTAGAGTATGTGAATGGCTCTCAGCTACTACAACACCAAAATAGCTTAATGTTTGTAAAGTTCACTGAGATTTAGCCATTTTGTGAAGGGTAAGGTCAGTCAGCTGTAGTGGCCATCTTGAATTGGAGGTACTTTAACTGTTAATACGTCGAAGCTGTGAAGCAAAACAAACTGACTAAAGGTTTCAATGAACTCTGTCCAAAAGTTCACGAGACACAAACAGAGTTAACTCCAGCATTTAATAAAAGTTTTAAATAAAGATGTCATGCAATCCGTTGCCTTCAGAGTATACGTTGAGGACAAGGCTCAGCTACTACCACACCCAACTTTAGCTCAATATCTGTAACACTGGCTGAGCTGGAGAGATTTTTGTGTTTGCTAACGACAGTTAGCTGCGGAAGTCATCTTGAATTTAAGTCTAAAGTTCAGTCAGTTGTAGATGTTCATTCAACAATTACTCAAGTAATTTATGAGATATTTTACTAACAGAACAAACACTCACACATGCAAAAACATTATCGCACCCCTGTGCCTTTCAGCAGCAGCAAAAACAATTTGGACCACGAGCTCTGAAAGGGTCTACCTTCATCCTCATGTCCCGGCCATGTTTCTCCAGTTCCTTCCTCATCTCCTGAGCTCCCAGTTTGGCTGCGTTCAGAACCAAATGCTTCCACTCGATTGGCTGGAAGACATGCGGGTCATGAGGCACGTACAAGCCGATCTTCACCTGACAGAAGAAGAAGATGAATTCACACACTGGTTTCACGCTCTCTTCTTCTAAGCCTCCACCCGTCCCACCTTCTTTAAAGTGTGCTGGTATCTCTTGTAGGAACTCTCGAACTCTGCCACCAGCTCGCCCAACGTTCGGTACATCAGCGGTTTGTCCATCAGGTCCTGGCGCCGGCTCATGCCCAGCGACCCATAGCGACCGTTGCAGTAGACGCCCAGAACCACGTGGTGAAAGCAGTGGCCTGAAAACTGAGTCTTAAAGCTGATGGGGAATCGCTCGAGAGACGTGAGCCCGTTAGTCAGGTAGCTGGTCGACACACGTTAAGGAGGATCGTTTTAAAATACTGTGTTTAAACATTTGATCATAACACAACCAGCTGACTTGATTAAATGTGTCTAGTGCACGTACAATCTTGCTGATGCAGCGTTTGTCTGGGTGTGTCAGCGTGGAGGAAGCAGCCGTTTGACTCGTGTATAATTAGATTCAGGCCGATACTTGGAAAAATAAAACTGAAAACGCCACCGAGGAAAAACAAACTGCCAGAGCTTGTTTATTGTGAGCGTGTTCGTGCTGGAACCAAAGGACACAACATGTTGATTAAAGGTGGCGCCACAGACTGATGGAGACTAACTGGTGACTCAAACTGTGAGAAAACCTGGACATCAGCGTCAGATGTTTCCTGTCAGAGGAGAGTTCCTACATTCAAGCATCAAAATGCATCTCTCGAGCTTTGAGATGTGTCGGAGACGTTCGTGTTAGGGCTGAACGGTTTTGGAAAATATTCTAATTGCGATTTTTTTTTTTACCTCAATATTGCGATTTAACATGTGATTATTTGTCTTCTTCTCGTGTATGTTTCAGTGAACACAAGCAATAAATCATCTGTTCTAGTAGTTTTCAGCTCCGCTGTAACGCTGTTTCTGCATTTTTTGTGTAGCTTCGTGATAGCAACTTGGCTAAAATGTGTGCGCGAGGGCATTCTGTACCACTTATCATGTTACCAACGCCGTAAACCCAGGCTTGGTCACTGTATTAATGAGCATCACGTCTTTCTCTATGAACTCCGTTATTGCTCGGGTTATTTCCATGTGTCGTTTCGAGTTATGTTCATACGGAGTAATGCCTTCGAACAGTTCGGTCGGTGATCCCTGTCGGCCGATACTTTGCTTACTTGAAGTTGAAGCGCTGGTCGTTGGTGTTCCAGCCATGCCACCATCATAAATGGCTTTGTGGTGTTTTTTTAAGTGTTGATAAAGATTCATGGTGTTACCTGGAGAGGTGGCAACAGCAGCACGGCAGGTTCTGCACAACACATGTCGTGCAAGCCGGGCACCATTGTGCAACTGGTTAAAACGCAGTGCTGACTTCTCCCGCTCCCTGTTTTTCTTTGCTCCGCTCACTCGCAAGTCACGTGACCAGATCATGTGACCAGATCACGTGACCAGTCAAACTGCAGCCTTTGCGATTAGAAAATCTTGTTTTATCATATCGTGATATTGTCGCAAACACAATTAATTGATCAGCCGTAGTTCATGTCGGACACTATTTCAATCTTTTTTTTTCATTTACTCTTTATTTATCCAGGTTAGTCTCATTGAGCCACGAGAACTCATTTTCAAGAGAGACCTGTTTAGGGAGCAGATGGCGGGGGTTAAGGGCCTTGCTCAAGGGCCCAGGGTGGAGTGAGTGAGGGTGGAGGGAGGTGTGGGTGTTTCACCTTTTCTACCCACATTTTGATGTTGACGGTACCGGGAGTTGAACCTGAGACTTTCCGATCACAGGCCCATCTTCTAACCTCTGCTCCACCACAACGAAATAATTTAAATAATTTAAAGTGACTGCAACACAGTTCTGAAGGTTTACTGTCCATTAGAAGATATTTGTAAAGCATCTTTGATGACGACAGTACTTTAAAAAAAGAAGAAGATATTTCTACAAGTCCACTTGTCTCAGAAGTCTTGGTGTGTTTCTGAAGCAGCTCCTGCTTCACCAGAACAAAAATCCAACGAGACATTGAACAGAGCACCAAAGAAAAGACAAAAGGTCTGGGCGCTAAATGTTCAACTGGAGAGACAGACTTCCTCCAACAACAGACACTAAGAACCAAGATGTCTCGTGCACGTTGCACTAATATCAGCAGAGAGAAGAGAAACATGGAAACCGAGCACATGCAGTCTGCAGATGCACGATGCAGCCTTGCTCCAAACGCTTCGTTGGACGAGCACATTTACGAGACAGTTGGACGTGTGACAGTGCTAGCAGTAAAACTTCTCCTCCTCGTCGTAAGCGAACCACCAGGCTAAAGGAAAGCTGCTGAATAGTTGTGTGACAGCTGAGCCCAGGTCGTGGCCTCACACCATTTTGTTTTCTTGCCTCCCCGGCATGTTCCAGTGTCACATCCAATCACTCTGCTGGCTTTTTAAAAAGCAACATTTCTTTTAAAAGTAACGCCACTCTATGAAATTTAACACTGAACCCCCACCACCCCCACCCACATCAAGAGCCCTGGAACTGCAGTTGTCTCGCCTCAGACTGAAAACACACAAAGTTCACGTGCAGGTGTAAAACCAACAGAAATGACTAAGACTAATCATTTCTGAACAAGCGGTGCGCAGACGTCCCGTCGCTGAAGGATCTGAACCGTGAACGCTTGTAGTTTTGGACATGAGTGTTTTTCTGGACTGGAAGTGAACGGGGAATATGGAAGTAAATGTTTTTGGTGCCAGATATTCAGGCGGGTAGAAGTTTCACTGTGGAGAAGAACTGAGCTTCTTTTGGTTGTTTCTTGTCCGAGGCAGCTCAAAGTGACGAATCCTGTCGGGCGCAGATTCATCCACCACCAGGTGCAAGGCTGGAGCCAGAGGGTGGCCAACGGTGGCCGTGGCCCCATAATTAATCTTCAGCCACCCCAATCATTTGAAGAAGCTATGCTTTAAGGATGACATGACGTGTGCAGAGAAACAATAATGTGCACGACCAGGAATAGTTTTTCAAGCCATGCACACAAAAACAAGCTGTAAATTTAAAAACCAGTCTGCTGAAAGCGCAGCCCCCTGGTTTCGTCGCAGACACTCAGAATTAGAGACCGTAACTGAAGTGTCACATATTTTCTTTTAATCTTCCCACAGTTTGGAGTTGCCAACTAATCTCCAACAGGTACAGCTCAGCTCACCACATCTACAGAATATATTGGACTCGGTGTACGAGGAATTAATCAAATACAAGTTTCTGAAACCTCCTTTGTTTATTTATTGCACTTATCATCATTAAAAGCTAATTTTAGTCTCAGAAGGTTAGAAATAGATTTTAAAATGAACCGTTTACAAAGAGTCTTCACATTTTAAACTCCAGTGTCCTGAAGCAGCGTCATGTGTTCATTATTTGTTATGAACCAACTCACACTGCAGCTTTGTTCGTTCATTAGTAAACCTGTCTACAAAGCAGAAATACTACAAGTGAAACTTCTTTATGCAGCTGTCCTTTGCTTCTTGCTGCACAACCCGAACCTGCCACACAACGGGACATAAAGCTGGTTTGACCCTAAATAACCCTGAATATTCTGGAGAAAACAGATTCCTGTCAACACGGATGCAAAGAGATGAGCGTTAGACGACAAACGGCTCCAAATGCCACAAGCAGCGATCCTCCTCACACTACAGTCTCTACTGGTCTCATTTATCCCAGTATAAGGAATGATTTGTTTAAACTGAAGCGTTAGAGTCATGGAGATGAAGCTGTTTTATGTGTGAACTGCACTGAACACGTTCCAGACCGCAGATGTTTAGTCTGTGTAGTTGTTCTTTGGTCATGGTGACCCTAAGAGCTGTAACAGAAGACAGCTGAACCAGTTTAATCCACACCATCGATTATTGCTTCACACTGTTGACGTTCTGCGTTTGAACACATTTAAATCCAGTTCAGGTGTTTTCCAGAAACAACAGGCTCGACAGGTGTGTCGTCACCACAACACGTTGAGAACAGGCGTGTCCTCGAGGTGACAGGTTCACATAGAAGTGACAGGAAGTCTAGCCGTCCCTCCAGGTGAGGCCTCATAGCTCAGTGGTTAGAGCACTGGTCTTGTAAACCAGGGGTCACGAGTTCAAATCTCGTTGAGGCCTGATTAGCTTTTCTTTAAAGTTAATTAGTTTTTACCCAACAACACTGGGAGAAAACAACTTCACTTTGAGGTGGATCTAAACTAAATTATGAGATTATTTTAGGGTAAAAACAACAATCTCTGAGACCATCATGAACAAAAGGTTTTATTACTGGTTTTTATTTTGTATTTTATTTCACCCAGATTTTATTTCCTTCGGTGTTTGTGCACAATGAACAGAAGTAGATTTTTGTTTTTGTATTTCTTGTCTGACGCTGCACAGAGTGGCAAGTGAAGGGAGAAATGTTCTCCACCTCCAGGTACAGTGGTGGAGAAGGTGGAGCCAGGTGTGCCCTTGTTTTGTTTTTCTGTGGGAGGAAACCGGAGTACCCGGAGAAAACCCACGCATCACGTAGAGAACATACAAACTCCAACCAGAAAAGTCCCTGGCCGGGATTCGTCCCGCTCAGTGATCACCGAGGGGCCCCTTCCTTTCTCTTTCTGAGGCTGTCGGTCTGGGGGTGGGGTCTGTCTTTCCCCATCACTGCTGTGGGAGATACAGTGAGGCGGATACCAGAGCGACCGGCATGGATTGTTTATTTAAAATAATCGAGCGCGACCTGAACCGAGCTTTAGTCCCCCTCGGCGATCACTGAGCGGGCCAGGCCACCGGGAAATGTCCCAGTGCTCCCGAAAGCCAGTCCACCCCCAGGATAGGCTCAGTAACGTAGCGTCAGTCTGTCTGCTCTCTTTCACTGTGCTCTTTTAGAGCGCTGAGAGTTTAGAACATTGCAAGAAGCCTTAAAATATATAAAAATACTAAAATTCTGTTCAGTGGAAGAGGTGGTGCAGAGGTTAGAGAAGGTGGGCCTGTGATCGCTGGTTCAACTCCTGGTACCATCCATCCATTTTCTTTACCCGCTTATTCCATGTTGGGTCACGGGGGTCGCCGGTGCCCATGTCCAGCCATCACTGTGCGAGGGGCGAGGTACACCCTGGACGGGTCGCAAGTCCATCACAGGGACACATAGAGACAAATGAGACAAACAACCATTCACTCTCTCACTCACACCTAGGGACAATTTAGAGTTACCATCAGCCTAACATGCATGTTTTTGGTCTGTGGGAGGAAACCGGAGCACCTGGAGAAAACCCACGCATGCACGGAGAGAACATGCAAACTCCACCCAGAAAGGCCCCTGGACCGGGGTTTGAACCAAGGACCTGCTCGCTGAGAGGCAGCAGCTCTACCAGTTGCGCCACCGTGCTGCCCCTCCTGGTACCAACAACATCAAAATGTGGGTGGGATAGCTGAAGCATCCACACCTGCCTCCACCCTCATTTGCCCCACTCTGGTCCCTTGAGCAAGGCCCTTAACCCCCACCATCTGCTCCCCCGGGCACCTTATAGCAGCTCTCTGCTCCACACAGAGGCTGTGCTTGTGTCAGGAAGGACTTCTGGTGTAAAAACAATTGCCAAGTCTTCGTGCGACTTAGTTCGCTGTGGCGACCCCTGATGAAGGGAGCAGCCGAAAGAAGAAGAAAAAAAACCACTAAATTTCTGTTCGGTGTCCTGCGACGACTTCTGTTGTGACTTGGCGCCATTTAAATAAACTGCATTGAATTAAAATAAATATAACGTCCCTACTTCGCAGATTTTCACCTGTCGCTGGGGTGTCTGGAACGTAACCTCTGCGATAAGTGAGAGATTACTTTACTGTATATATATCCCCCCACCACACACACACACACACACGCACACGCACGCACGCACGCACGCACGCACACACACACACTACGTGTCATTCTGATCACTGCAGTTGAAACATGAAGCCAGGGATCAAAGCGACCAGATTTTAAGGCACGCATCACAACAAAACAACGCCCCGTTTGATAATTGGTCCATTCAAATTAAGCCAACGTTTTCATAAAAAGCAACATGAAAGAATTGAATCACATTTTTATTTTCTGCTGCATGAGCAAATAAAGATGTGAAGAAAATGTGTGGAAACTGTTGCAAGAAGCCACGTCTTTAAATTTAAGCTCGGCAGGATGATCCTAAGCTGTGAGAACGCCTGGTGAGGGAACAGACTCTGAAGTGGGTCTGTTGCCTAGCAACCCAGAGCCAGAGAGAACAGTGATGTTGGGGCATTAGGACGTTAAAGTTTGCAGTTTTACCCACAAATAACAAAATAACCTTTGTGAAGGATACATTCCCAAGATGACGGCTTCCAGGCATTTGATGGGCAAAGACTCCCTGATCATCTCTCTGGCTGTTTCCATGAGCCTGCAGGGAGGAGGAAGATGAGACAATGAGTTAGAGGAAGGCCAAGTTAGAAGACGGGAAGAATAAAAGCACACAAAAAAGGAGAGGTAGGAGGTAAAGACTGTGGAGCATCAGATGAGATGAAGGACAAAAAGATAAGAAAACAAGAAGAAGAGGAAGGAAGCAGATAAGAATATTGTTCTTTGGTTTTAAATCTTTAAATTGGATCATTTGGCCAAGTAATGACCAAAAACATGGACACTTGTAGAACTGATGTTTTTGATGACGCTTTACTAATTAAAACACGGATTAAGAAACAGATGAAGGTCTAACAATCCAGATCGTTGGTGTCCACAAGTGAACCTGAGATGATGATTAACACTTTTGTCTCTACAGTTTCTGCTGTAACGACTTGTCACAGTAAGAAGAGACGAGCTGAACTTCAGGCAGTCCAGATGTTTTGTTTGAAAGTCACTCCACTGGCTCCAGGTCAGTTTTAGAAATAATCTTAAACATCTGGTTTGAACGTTCAGAGCTCCTTCTTCAGCCAAACTTCTCTCCTTGCAGCCTGAGGTCCATCTACCATAGTTTGTGCCATATAAGTTGCACCTTTTTGCATAAATTTGTAAATCCTGTGACTTATACACCAAAACAACTAATATACGTTTTTTTTCCCATATTTATAATCCTGTTTGCTGAAATCTGATTATTTCATTCTGACAATGAAAATATTGAACACCACCATTGTCAGCCGCTTGAGGGCCCTCAAGCCATATGGCAAGCCAAATGTCTCATTAATAGGTAAAAGTGGCTATTAATGAGACACTTGGCTTGCCATACGAGCTCCCTTCGTCTCGCTCTGGAACTCCTGGAGCAAACGTCAAATCAGCTGCGTTTTGTTGCACCGCCCACGTGAAATGCAGCTGATTTGACCGTTAAAGTGCATTTATTAAGGAAAAGTTCAACTGAGACACAACTTTACTAGAATGTAGAGCAAACAAATAATTGTTTTTATGTGTTAAATTCTTGTTAAAGTCCTCCCGTGCACGCTCCCGCGGCCGCCATTTGGCAGCCAATCGATTTTTGGCACAACACCGGCCCACGTGACGCGTAATAGATGCGACTTATTTATGTTTAGTTTTATTCAAATTATTAGACATATTCGGACTGATGTGACGTGTACTGGGGTAAGTACGGTACACAGAACCTTCTAATGGTGTCCTCGAGTCCTGCACGTTCTTCAGGACCCAAAGGAACCGATCCATCCAAACAGAACTGTCCAGACTGTGAACGCACCACGTTTATTTGATCAGTTTGGACTCTGCAGAAACTTTTAAAAAGCAGCTCAAGACTATTTTATTCCACAAGTGTTTAGTTAGAATTGGGCTTTTAGAGCTGCGTTGCATTTTGTTTTTATCCGATACATATTTTGGGAGTTGTGTACATTTTATTGGTTCAACTCTAAGACAAACGTGGAGGATGAACGCTCGCTGCAGCTCGTTAATCCCAGGCTCACACTCACTCGCTGGGTTTCTTTCACAGAAAGAGAACACCTCCAGCTACTGCTGCAGTGCAGGAGGTCAGACATGAACTTGGATCTTGTGTTTTACGGCGGTCTGCTTCCTACACATTAAAAGCCAAATGTTGAATTGAAATGCTGAAGTCTGAGCTAGCATGATGTCAGAAAACGTTTCCAGGATTTATTTGTTTCTGCAGCCTTTTCTCCTCTTCTTCGAAGTCCTCACCTCAGGCTGCTCTTTAAACTAATCTGAGACACAGAACCAAGCAAAGCAGGCAAACATCACCGGATTACATCTGGACAAGTACAACTTCGTCCACTCCATCTAAAACCAGATTATATGAGGTCATCAGATTATATGAGGTCTGGTTTAATCAATCTTTACAGCAGTCTGGCCTCAGCAACCTAAAGTTAGCTTCTTTATCGTCTCACGTATTAAACTGATCCAGTTCTTTCAGGTTATTTGTGGTCAGATAATAACTGTAACTCAGAAGTGGTGTACAAGTCACTTTACATCATGATCGACATTTTACACGAAAATTAAATTATGCCATAAATGCATCAACGAGAGAATCAGAAAACTAATAAATGTTTATGAATCATTCGCACTGTTGTGATCCACTTTTCCTCAGAAAATGAACGGAGCTCATTTTACATCCTTCAAATGTTTAGCTCTGTTCACAACCTTTTGCTGCTCCTTTCCACGTTTTGTTCTTCTTCAGCTTCTTTCAGCTTCCTTCTGCAAATTTAAACTGTTTTCAGCTACTTTCAGCTGTTTTCACCTTCTACTAACTTCTTTCTGCTCATTTCAGTTTGGTGTGCTTCTTTCAGATTATTTCTGCAAGTTTTAGCTTTTTCTGCTATTTCAGCTACTATTTTGCTTTATTTTTTTTAGCTGTTTTATGCTAATTTAAGCTTTTTCAGCTAATTCCACATTTTCTGCGCTCATTTCAAATTTTTTCAGCCTAATTCAGCAAAAATGTGCTCTCGCCGCTTCCTCCTTGTAATTTTAGCTTCTTTCTGCCTTTTCAGCTACTTTTCAGCTGTTTTGTGCTAATTTAAGCTTTTTCAGATAAATTCTACTTTGTGCTCATTTCTGCTTCTTTCAGCCTAAATTCAGCAAATATGCGTTCTTTCTGCTCTTGTCTGATAATTTAGGCTTGTTCCTTCATTTCAGCTGTTTTTCAGCAAGTTCTTCTGCAATAAGCATTCACACGTTTCTCTAGTTATTTTTATTATTACTGCTGTAATTGATGTCAGTGGTTCCCAACCCTGGTCCCTGAGGAACACCACCCTGCATGATTGAGTTGTTCCCCTGCTCCAACACTTGACTCAGTGACTTGATTACTTCCTTATGTTCTACAGAACCCTGTTAATCACCCATTTATTACAATCAGGTGTGTCAGCGCAGAGAAACAACTAAAACATGCAGGATGGTGTTCCTCAAGGACCAGGGCTGGGAACCCCTGATTTATGTTAAATTCCTGAAAGGTTCATACACATCAGGTACAAACCTTGATAAAATACACTCAGACATGTTTCGTAAGTGAATGTCTGTATATCTAATGACATGCAGGTGAAATGTTCAGTGTTAAACGTCTTCAGATGCGCTGAACAAATAAAACTTCCGTTCCTAAGAAGACGTCAGCGTGATTTTTAAAGCTGTGGTCCACTCACCCACACAGAGGACGGCTCTTCTTGATTTCAAAGAACTGGGTTCCAGTGTGGTTGTACCTGACACAGACGTTAAGGGCAACAGTTCCAGGTTGGTGTTTTAGTCTGTAAATGTTCAGAGAACAATAAATTTGATTAGAAACAGACTGAGCGTGAACAACTCGTGATCTGGACATTTCTGTCCTGAAGGATACTGCAGCGCCTTCATGTAGTTCTGGACGGCCACCAGCCAGTCTGGGACCGACATGGACGCTTTGAAGGTTGGAATCGAGGGAACGGGATGCTGAAAGACACAACATTAAACCATAAATCAACACGTGCTGACATTTAGAGCTTAAAAACCTTTCGCCATCTTTGAACTGCCGTTTTCCTGAGTCCACCCATGTTTCCTACAGTTAACGTGATAAAACTCGTCGGGTCTTCTGTGAGTTCAAAGAACTTTAATTCAAGGCTGCGGAGCTGAATTCATGCACGACAGACGTTGTGGTGACGGCACATTTTTTTTAAACGGCTAAAAACGAAACGTGTAATTTTCTGCAGCTGTCAGAACTTCACGGCTGCCGGCGGAGAATCCTCAAAGGGTTGTTCACTTGAGAAAGTTTGATGAAACTCGTCTCTCTAAAACACGGCTCGTTTTCTTGGGCCACCATCATCATCATCACAGCTAAAGCCGCAAAAACAAGAAGGGGAAGCAAGCTGTCATGTAGATACTCAACAACCAAAAACCACAGGAAATAATTTCATAAAGCTGTGAGACGCAGGGCTGCACGTCGCCCACATTAACCACGGCACCAACAGGAACCCACAGTAGTAAAAGTGGCGTGTTGCAACAGATACAAAAATAACACGGGTGGTTTAGCAGCTGTTTGACCTCAGCAGGAACCATTTCTCAGCAGAGGCAGATTGAAAAGTGACTCACACTGAAAGAAACCGACTCTTCCTCTGACTCAGATCAGGCTGCGAGCAAACCGGAAGGCCGAGCTAAAACACCAGATCCATCATTTCCTCTGGGTTTTTGTTTCGCTCTGGTAGAGGATGGACCGGAGAACAACAAGGAACCGGAGCTGATGTGTGGCAGCACTTCGACCATTCAAAGCAAATAAAAAAATGGAAAAAGCTTAAAGTCTTAAATGTTATATTGAATAATAAACACACGGTCTTTAAAACAAAATTAGGAATAATTTGCATTAACTTTAGAGAAATATAAAATCTGGGTACGACTGATATTAAAAGGAAATACTAGTTTTTTTTACCTGATCCTCAGGTATTCATTCACATCTGAACAAATATTTATGGTACAACTTCAGCCAAAGCAAAACTTTTAAATTTAACATCTTTAAGTAACGTCTATTTTTGTTCATTTTACAATTTAAACATTAATAAATTAGTTAAAGGTACTCATTAACTGTGATATCAAACATAAAAAGATTATGATGAACTATATTAAATGGTGCGGTTTGAAAGATTTTACTCCAGTAGTTTTCTGATATAAAATTCTGAAACAAGGATCATTTAAAAAAAAAAAAACAGCTGGACTTTATTTAGTAACAGAAGACTTTTGGAAACGAGGGTCGTACTCGATGTCATTTGGCTGAATCCACCACAAAGCACGAGGAAGAGCGAGTCACAAAAGTTGCTCCATTTTTTAATTTTAATTTAGAAGACATTAACCATGAATATGAGAAAATGTTGTTTTTGTTTCTTCATGATTATTTCTGTCTGGTCTTGACTTTGCAAAGAATAACCTGCAGCTGTTACAAACCACACTCACCATGTTCATACAAAAGATTCTGCAGTGGTTAAAATGATTCAGTCATGGAATAAAATGTTTATGTTGACTCAATTCAGACACTTTACATGGACAGATAGAGCTCGAGTTGAAAACAGACAGTAATCTGTAAGAAAACCGATCTGCCAACTGGCCGCTCTTCTTGGTCTGAGGCCAGTCTACAGTCATGCAGACCATAAACCAGTTTGCCAGCCAAGTCCAGTAAACAGGATGTTCTACAGCCACATCATCTGCACGTAAAACCCTCTCTACAGCGTATTACTCTGGCTCCATCAGCTGCCGACACGCTCCAACTCAGAAACTGCTTCCTGGGCCAGCGAGCGGCGCTGGTCCGAGATGACGTCACGAGTATTGCTGCAAATGTCAAAAGTCCTGGACGTCAGACGAACATCAGAGAACATGGGCGATGGCCAACTCCACGGCTTTTGTTCATGTCAACCTTACCGAAGACGACGACGACGTGCCCAGGGCCAAAAGTGACTTTGAATGAATTGAAGGGTCCAGCAAACCACAGCAAACTGGTGCAAAAGGTGCGCGTGGTGATCCTGGCCTCCGTGAAAAATAGCACAGGTAGCAGAAGATTTCGTGCATGATGCAGAACATGGTTTCTCCATGCGTTGCATGGGCTTTGATGAAATGAATGATTTATCCAGCTGCTTCTTTTATTTCACTTTTGTAGCCGGTGTTAGCTTTAATGACTATGGATTTCCATGGCAACATCAGAGCGCTGCGTATGTTTCTCTGTGGCCACGATTGCTGTTTTCTTTCTTTATGGGTGTATGGATGCATGTCAGATGTTTAACAACTCGTTCTTATGGTTTATATGGTTTTATATTTTTGCAATTAAAAAAAAAAACAGCTTTTGTTGTACGCGACTGCACGAGCAGGAAGAGGAATCAAGCAAGTGGAAAAAACGTTCGGTGATCCTGTTACGAGTTTCTGACCTGGCGAACACGGTAATGAAAGCTGAATTTCATTTTAGTACATTTCAATGTATCTTAAGGGACCCTCCCAAAAGTAATTGCTCTTTAAGAAACCCTTGTTTACTGACACTCCCAGCAATGAGGTGGCATTTCTCTCCTCGAGTAATCGGCTTTGGAAACAGCGTGAACTGTAAACTTGCATATCGGCTGACGCTAACGCCCCGTAGCAACAACGTTCGTTGGATACCACCATCTTTTTGCTGTTTCCTTGGTGGGGAGCAAACCACGACTACAGCGCTCACTGTATTGTACTCGAAGTTCTGCTTGTCTGAGCTACGATTACTTGCAGATGTCACACATTGTCTTTAGAAACTGGGACCTGAACTATCCAATAAGAAGTGCTCATCTTCTTGTTTGTCATCTACAGTCGGTTCTAACTGTCGCCATTCATCAGGTGGCGACGAGCCGCTGTGTGATGAAAGGTACAGATTCAGTCCTAAAGCCACTTCCACACTGTGTCCAGATTAGCTTAAAAAACTGTTTTTATTAACATGTTCTGCCTTTAATAAAACCAATTAAAGGTGCTGATTTTAGCTGTTTCACTTCTTTTACATCATCTCTTGGTGGCAAATACAAACACAAATTAGGTGTACAAAATACTTCCTGTATGATAATTATACTTATGAGCAGTAAGAAGAGGTCTACGTTCTTTCTCAACTGCATAACGCATTAACGAAGAGCTCGTTTGGACAGTGATTATTGTCTCTTCTGTTCTATTCTCATGCACTTCCTCTAATCTATCTGTTCCTACTTCTTGTCCACCCTTCCTCTCTACTCTGTTATTACCTCAAACTGTCTTTTTCCCTCCTCCTCTGTCCATTGTTAGCGCTAATAACCCTCTCTCTGACTTGTGTCCACCTTTTCTTGTGTCATGTGGTCTTTTCAGCCCTCCCTCATGATCACCACCTCTTCTGATCCAGATCTACAATGGTTAGACACATGTTTGCAGCAACATTTAAATCTGGTGCAGTTTAAACACTTTGTTCTGTTGCATGGTCGTGCAACTGAAAACAACTTGCTCTTTGTTGTTGGTTGTCCTTTTTTTTTTGTAGACGACAGCTGGCAGTTTCTTTTTCCACTTCAGGGCCTTTATACGCAAAATATGCAAGAATATTCTGGAGAATCGTGAACATCTGTCTCTCTTGTCTTGTTCTTGATGCTCTTGTCTGAGCCTTCTGGTTCATTATTTGACCAGAACAACAAGCAGAACTGAAGCACGTCCATGAAAACGATCAGCCACGAGCACGCTGTGATTGTTGGCAACTATTTTGTGAATGTCCGTCTGAAGGGAGTCTCCAGTTTCTCGAAACATTCATATCATGGGGTTTCTCTGTTTCCTTGTTTGTCGCAGACGTGCACGGTCTCGGTGCTTGAATTTTGAACATGATCCAAAGATTTGTGCAAAAACAGTTCCACTCAGTCCCAGATCTGTTTTGAACCTGTCTCAAGTTTGTTGCAGGAGTCTCCAGCCCGTCTCAAGACCGATACAGCTGTTTCACACCTGCACCGGAGCTCTCCTCTGACTTATCCAAGGTCAATGATCAGGTCTAAAAACAAAAATGATTAATAATAACTTTAAGTACTAGTCTAACTCTATCTTCAGTTAAAAATACATTTTTTCAAACCGTACATGTAACAATAGGCTAATACTTAAAAAAAATGGCCACCCAAATCCCGGCTGCATGGTTGGTTGCAAACACTGAGAATTGTATGCAACAAAAAACATGGCCGTCATTTTAGCCGTTTTCTGCTATTTTGAGCCAACAATGCTGAACAAAAAAATAAACGCAACACTTTTGTTTTTGCTCCCATTTTTCACGAGCTGAACTCAAACATCCAAGACTTTTCTGTTTGACTTTTTCTGTGTGACTTTTTCTCTCAAATATGGTTGTGTTAGTGAGCACTTCTCTTCTGCCAAGATAATCCATCACACACAGGTGTGGCATTTCAAGGTGCTGACGTGATTGTTGCACATTTGTGGTTTAGGCTGACCACAACAAAGGGCCACTGGAAAACGTGCAGTTTTATCACAGCACAAAGACACAGATGTTGCAGGTTCAGAGGGAGCGTGCAGTTGGTGTGCTGACTGCAGGAACGTCCACCAGAGCTGCTGCTCATGAACTGAATGTTCATTTCTCCACCTTGAGCCGTCTCCAAAGGTCTTTCAGAGACTTTTGTCAGTACATCCAACCGGCCGCACAACTGCAGACCGTGTGTAACCACACCAGCCCAGGACCTCCACATCCAGCATCTTCACCTCCAAGATCATGAGACCAGCCCCCACCAGCTGCTGCAACAATCGGTTTGCGTGACCAAAGAATTTCTGCACAAAGTGTCAGACGCCGTCTCAGGGAAGCTCATCTGCTGCTCGTTGTCCTCATCCGGGTCTCCACCTGCAGTTCATCGACGTAACCAACCTGAGTGGGCAAACGCTCACATTCGATGGCATAATGACAAGTTGGAGGTGTTCTCTTTATGGATTTTCACTGTACAGAGCAGATGGCAGACTGC